AGGGTGAATGTAGCTGTATCATATGCTTCTTTCTAAGAACCTATTTATGGGAAAGATATATTTTCACTATAAAAAACAGTGATATCATTTGCCATTATTAAACTTCACATTTTATTTATTTATTTATTTTGGTTGCTACAAAGGTGGAGAGCTGGGTAATGTTGATCTCACTGACAAGTTGTGTGATTTAAACATGACATGGGGGACTTGGGCACTAGGCACAATCTTGAAGGTGGAAGGGAGAGGATCAAGGAAGAGATGCCTTGGCCCAAGCAACTTCCCCCATCTTTGATCATGCCTCTCCATGGATACTACCTGGTGATTCAGATCTGGTGGTCAGGGGCTCTGTATTCAGTGGGTTTGGTGTAACTCATAAAGGTCCATGATGAAAATCTAAGACATTTTATGTTGCCTTTGGGAGTGGTGGGAAAGGGATTAAGCTTCTATCTAGCTCACAGATCTTGAACAGGGCCATGAAATTCCTGGTTCTAAATAATTCAGGTTTTCTCTACTACTACCTTTCTCTATCATCAACGTTTGCTAAGTGATAGAAGAGCAGAAACAAAAAGATCAAAAGGGTCCTACCTCATGGTAGAATGGTCTCTTAACTCCTTATTTCCTGGTACCATTGATACCCTTGCTCCCCATCTAAAAAAACATCACTGAGAATAAACCTTTTATACTCTTAAGTCTGAAACAAAAGGGAGAGCCCAGGGTAGAAAACTGAGCTGATTTTTTTTTTCTGGCACTTCAAACAGATTTAAATACTGTGAAATTATCTTGGGAGTTATCTCTCAAACTGCAGGTAGTTAAAAGTGATTATAAGACATGTTCTTTTGCTTAAGGATTTGCTGACATCTAATGCCTTTTTTCTCCAAATAAATGCACTGATGACATTTCTGAGTTAATAAAGGATCTGAGAAAGACGTGGCCCTGAGCAATACTTTTATTACCATTACTTTCCCAAAATCTAACTCATCTGCCACGACCCTCCTACCCACATACACCCTTACCCCCTTCCTCACTGTTATTAATCTTACCTGAATCACTCTATTCTTCTCCAAGAGAACACACCCCAGTAATAGCAGTGAGTCATAGACACTCTACTTCTCTGTTCTCTAATGGACTTGAAAAAATGCCAGATCTGAAAGAATAAAAGGAAAGGAACTTTAGGTGAAAAGAGCTCTTTAGGATCTTGTTCAGTATATTACCCTCAATATTAGTTACCAGATGAATTTTCTAGTTGCCTGGGGGTCGACAGGTTTTTATCATACTAATACTATTGACCATTCCCATATTTCCATACTCTCAGTAGACTTCCTACTACTCAGTGAGGCAACCTCTTAGGCACGCCTATAGCTAAGCCAAGGGCTCTTTCATCTTGAGGTTAAAAATAAAACTTTTTTCCTTCTTAACTTAGCTAAAGCATATTAAACAGTTCACCCCTTTGATAACAATGTCTTCAATAGATTCTACAAGTGAATCATTACACATTATAAATGTTTATATGAGGTCTTTAGGTAATAGAGAAAAGAAATAGAAATAGTTTGTCAATTATTCTCAAAGGGAAACTTATGAGAAGACAGAGGACTAAATAAAATGCATCTTCTTTACCAATGGATAGGACTTTAAGATATTTGAATTCATGGCAAGAGAAACCTAGAGGAGAGTTTTTAAAGGCAATTATATACAAATGTCATAAGAAATATTGCAAGTTGATTAAGAGAATTTAGATTTTCTTTTGAGTGTTATAAATCTGTATTAGTTTGTCTTAATAAACACTATAAATCAACTTAATCGTGTGCATTCTGCATAATTCCTCACCTAAGTGGATTTAAATCTGGTCTTAAAAATGTATATTTACATTTTTAATTGTTTTAAAAAATACTTATACTAGCTATGTCTATATACTAGTGATATATAATTTTTTTTTTTTTTGGTCAAACCCAAAAAAGTTAATGAAACGGAACTTAGGTCACCCTGAGATTACTGTTAAAATGTTTAAAATAAAGCTAAAGCCAATAATTAAAAAACTAAATACATCGTCTGAAACATAATTTTGAATTGTGGCTTAAAAGTGTGTGTTTGTATGGAGAAAGAGAAAGGGAGAGGGAGACAGCATTCACTATGCTCTTCTTGTTATTAAAAAAAAAAGCCTCATAAAATTTTTTTAGGTCTATGTCATCATCCTACAAACAATAATCACAGAGAAGAATGGAAGGTACATTTTACCACTCCTTAATGAATAACAAAGTGACTAATGGTAGCCCTGGGTATTGAAGAAATTTAAAAACACAATGAGAAAACCTGTCTTAGGTTGATATTAATTACTATTATCATTGAATTCCATTGCTCAAATTGTTCTCCATGGTAGGGTAAGGAGTCATTGCCTTCTGGCATATTTTTCCCTGCCTGAAAAGCTTCATAGGAAAATACAATGTCCTGTGTCAGAAACACCAAACTCCTTAAAGGTCAAAAGATTTTGGGCTCCTAAGGACATGAAAATGTTTGCTAGGCTTTATCTAAAGGTACAGTGAAAACTACAGAGGCTATATCCCATATCCCTTACACTAGAGTGGAATGTATGTTTCCATTTTGGTATGTGATGGGAATAGGTAAAACACAAACATATATGGAAACCGATCAGGTTTTTTTTGTTATTTTTTAAAATATATTTTTATTGGTTTCAGAGAGGGAGAGATAGAACCATCAATGATGAGAGAGAACCACTGCTCAACTGCCTCCTACCACTCCCCCCCTCCCCCACTGGGAATGGAGCCCACAACCCAACATGTGCCCCCGACCAGAATCGAGCCTGGGACCCTTCAGTCCGCAGGCCAACGCTCTATCCACTGAGCAAAGCCGGTTAGGGCTGAAACTAGGTTTTTCTGAGTACTTATTCTGAAAATCTTTAAAAATCTGGCCAAAACAATCTCATTATAATATACCAGTTCACATAATAAGCAAGTCAGAACATTTCCTAGGCAAGATGTTGTTTTCCTTTATGCAGCCAGCAGAAACAGCTCTGAGCTTAGGTTGTAATGATAAAAGGATTTTGGAGCAGCTCTCTTGAGGGAATCATAAACAGGACCCAACCTTATGCCCCAAGGTATAAAGAATATGCAGAGTCTGCATTGTGCTTCTAGTGTCAGGACAAATCATTCTGCTTTTTTCAGTGTGAGTAAACTGATGCCAATGGATGAGTCAAGGGAGAAATAAAAGTCCAGACTGAGACCTGTGGCTTGGTAAGGTGAATAACACCCCTATCACAAAATCATGAGTGCTCATTCACGTTCATTTTCTAAATTCCATGAGATTAATTGACAGCATTTTTGAAAATTTTAGGAGTGGAATACATATTAATTACTGTGGAGGCTCCAAATTTTCTGCTATTTGTGGTTTAAATTTTGAGATATCACAGAGCACAACCCCCATTAAAAAAAACCTGTGATCTTTTTTTGAAAGCTAAGTGCAGGGTTGAAAAAATTATGTGATGCATTCCTTTAAGTCAATTAGGGAATGATGAATATAGTTGCTATCTTCTATAATAAAAGCCTAATATGTAAATTGTCCCCTAAGGTGTTTGTTCCACTGGGAGTTCGACTGCTTGCTATGACATGTGCTGACCACCAGGGGGCTGCCTAGAACATGGTGGGCATCAGCAACGAAATGGCGCTGGCAGCAGTGGAGGCGCCGACAGGCCTGATGGGCTCCCACAAGAGCATCCCACTGTGGGGGGATGGTGGAGCAGATGAGTGGGCAGCGCCAGGTCAAGAGGCCCACACTGGCCCTGGCCCACGGTCATGCTCACCATATGGAGCACCGTTGACTCAGGTGGAGGAGTCCTCAGGGGCCTGGGGGGCCCAGATGCTTGAGCTTCCATTGCCTGCCAGGCCTAGGGACTGCACTAGTTCATGAATTTCATGCACCGGGCCTCTAGTATAAAATAACAACTACAGACTGCTTCGTAGATACTAGCACTGTTCTCATCGGTCGCAATGAATACTCATTTAATCCTCTCATCCCTAGGAGGTTGATATTATAATTCCACTTTACCCGCGAGGAAACCAAGGCACAGAGACACTCCGTTAGGAAGCACATAAAATAATGGTGCCGGGATTCAAACCCACGCCATCTGATGCCCGCATTTGTCTCGAACCACTGCATTAGGCTCTGTGTTTCTATCCGACCGCTCAGAACTCAGGTAAATCCTCTGGGTCCCGACCACTCCCAGGCCAGTCAGAAAGGTATCAGCACAGAGACGGGGTCAACGTTTAAAAGGGCCATTCATCCCCCAGGACTGAGAACCCGGGCCCCAGCCCGTACATTCCCACCTTCCTGGTGACTCAGCAATTACTCAGCTGTCTTTGCCTAAAGCAGCACTCCACCCACTGAGTGAGCTTGGTTGTGCACAGCCACAGCCCAACGCCACACAGGAAACGGAGGGTGTGTGTTAGACTAAGGACACGCTGCCCGGGATTCACAAGGGCCCGGTCTGCTCCAAACGTCTGCATCGGCAACAACATCATCTTATTTCGGGATCTGTTCTGCTTCCTCTGTTGTAACACAACAAACGTCCTTGGACGACATTTTCTCTCAGATTTGAAGCCAAACTGAGGAAATCTAAATGTTGAGGCAGCTACAGCAAAACCTCTGGGATTGGACCGCACGGGCTAGAAACGAGCTCGACTGTATTCTCCACAGGCCATTAACCCTGCGCGGCTCTTTCGAGGCCTCGGCCTTTGGAGAGTTTACGAGCTGTAAATTCAACACACGGACCTCCCTGAGGGTCTCGGTCCTCTCATGTCCAGGCAAGGTCTTTGCTGTGGTGAGCAAGGAGCCCAAACACAAACACAACGAAGCAGGAAGTAAAGTGTTGCACGGAGAGCAGAGGGAGGGAAAGCCGCGAAGAAAAGCACGCTCCCTGGAAATCCAGTCGTGAGTTGCGACGCTCAGCCCTGC